AACGGCAGCAGAGGGGCGAAAACAAAAAATGGCAACAATTGCCTTATATGTGATTTATGGCAGCAGTGGGGCGAAAACAAAAAATGGCAACAATTGCCTTAGATGCGATTAACGGCAGTAGAGGGACGAAAACAAGAAATGGCAACAATTGCCTTATATGTCATTAATGGTAGCAGTGGGGCGAAAACAAAAAATGGCAACAATTGCCTTATATGTGATTAATGGCAGGAGTGGAGCGAAAAAAAGGCAACAATTGCCTTATATGTGATTAATGGCAGCAATAGGGCGAAAACAAAAAATGGCAACAATTGCCTAATATGTGATAAATGGCAGCAGTGGGGCGAAAACAAAAAATGGCAGCAATTGCCTTATATGTGAATAATGGCAACAGTGGGGTGAAAACAAAAAATGGCAACAATTGCCTTATATGTGATTAATGGCAGCAGTGAGGCGAAAACAAATGGTAATAATTACCTTATATGCGATTAACGGCGGGAGGAGGGACAAAAACAAAAATGGCAACAATTGCCTAATATGTGATTGATGGCAGCAGTGGGAATTAAAACCGAAATGGCAAGAATTGCCTTATATGAATAATGGCAACAGTGGGGTGAAAATAAAAATGGCAACAAATTGCCTTATATGTGATTAATGGCAGGTGGGGCAGAAAAAAATGTAACAATTGCCTCATATGTAAGTGTGGCAACAATGGGGCAGAAAATAAAAATGGCAACAATTGCCTTATATGCGATTAACGGCAGCATAGGGACGAAAAAAAATGAAAATTGCCTTATATGTGATTAATGGCAGCAGTGGGGCGAAAAAAAAATGGCAACAATTGCCTTATATATGATCAATGGCAGCAGTGGGACGAAAACAAAAAATGGCAACAATTGCCTTATATGCGATTAACGGCATTAGAGGGACGAAAACAAAAATTGGCAACAATTGCCTTATATGTGATTAATGGCAGCAGTGGGGCGAAAACAAAAAATGGCAACAAATGCCTTTTATGTGATTAATGGCAGCAGTGGGGCCAAAACAAAAAATGGCAACAATTGCCTTTTATATGATTAACGGCAGCAGAGGGGCGAAAACAAAAACTGGCAACAATTGCCTTATATGTGTTTAATGACAGCAGTGGGGCGAAAAAAAAATGGCAACAATTGCTTTATATGCTATTAACCGCAGCAGAGGGACGAAAACAAAAAATGACAACAATTGCCTTATATGTGATTAACGGCAGCAGAGGGACGAAAAACAAAATGGCAACAATTGCATTATATGTGATTAATGGCAGCAGAGGGGCGAAAACAAAAAATGGCAACAAATGCCTTATATGCGATTAATGGCAGCAGTGGGGCGAAAACAAAAAATGGCAACAATTGCCTTATATGCTATTAATGGCAGCAGAAGGGCGACAATAAAAAATGGCAACAATTGCCTTAAATGTGATTAATAGCAACAGTGGGGCGAAAACGAAAAACAGCAACAGATTGCCTTATGTGATTAATAATAGAGGGCGACAATAAAAAATGGCAACAATTGCCTTATATGTGATTAATGGCCGCAATGGGGCGAAAACAAAAAATGGCAACAATTGCCTTATATGTGATTAATGGCAGCTGAGGGACGAAAACAAAAAATGGCAACAATTGCCTCATATGTGATTAATGGCAGCAGTGGGGCGAAAACAAAAAATGGCAACAATTGCCTTATATGCGATTAATGGCAGTAGTTGGGCGAAAACAAAAAATGGCAACAATTGCCTTATATGTGATTAGGCGGCGGAAACGATCCTCCGCTAGTTACCGTTAACTCGCTCGTTTGCTGGGTGACGACACTTGGGGGTGAGGGCGAAACAAAAATGGCAACAATTGCCTTATATGTGATTAATGGCAGGAGAGGGCGACAATAAAAAATGGCAACAATTGCCTTATATGTCTATTAATGGCAGCAGTGGGCGAAAACAAAAAATGGCAATTATTGCCTTATATGTGATTAATGGCAGAAGAGGGAGAAAAACAAAAATGGCAACAATTGCCTTAAATGTGGTTAATGGCAGCAGAGGGGCGAAACAAAAAATGGCAACAAACATTACATACATACACACACAATAGTCCTCGCTAAACACACACAGACAGCTCTTCAACTCTAACACTACCACAACAACGACAAATATGCAGTTATTGCCTCACCAGCTAACATTTCGAGTATTTTTGTCGCTTAACTGTAAGACAACACCAAGATGTTGTTGTTCACTCAAGATAAAGTTTACCCAAGTGCCGGAAACGGAGGGAAAACACTCTCCGAGTTAAGTCATATGTGGGTGGGGTGGGTGGGAGAGGGTGGTCGAGAGGGTGGGTGTGGGAGTCGGTGGGGAGGAGGGTGTGGGTGGTGGAGAGGTGGGTGTGGGGAGTCGGTGGAGAGGGTGGGTGTGTGGGGAGGGTGGTGGAGAGGGTGGGGGTGGTGGAGGGATGGTTGTGAGTGGGTGTGGAGAGGGAAAGGACAGATATCAGTGAAGCCAGATGTCAGGCCGGCCAATGCTGAGCCTGATGTAAATACCCATCTTGAGGCGACACACACACACACACACACACACACACACACACACACACACACACACACCACACTACAGCCCTTAACGCATTTTGTTCACGACTTCAAACTTTGTTCCCAAGATAATGTTGAAAGTTGAAGCGAATGTTCAACTACTTTCTACAACAACTTTGGTGTAGGTTGATGGTGCCTGGTGGAGAGGGAGGGAGGGGAGGGGAGGGAGGGAGGGAGGGAGGAGGGAGGGAGAGGGAAGGGAGGGGGGAAGGGAGGGAGGGGGGAGAGGAGAGGAGGGACGGAGGGACGGAGGGGAGGGAGGGAGGGAGAGGGGAAGGGAGGGAGGGAGGAGGGAGGGAGGGAGGGGAGGGGGGAGGGAGGGACGGAGGGACGGAGGGGAGGGAGGGAGGGAGGCACGGAGGGACGGGAGGGAGGAGGAGGAGAGGGGAAGGGAGGGGAAGGGAGGGAGGGAGGGAGGGGGGAAGGGAGGGAGGGAGGGGAGGGATGGGAGGGAGGGAGGGGAGGGGAGGGGGGAAGGGAGGGGGAAGGGAGGGAGGGGACGGAGGGACGGAGGGATGGAGGGAGGGGAGGGGGGGGAAGGGAGGAGGGGAGGGAGGAACGGAGGGAGGAGGGAGGGAGGGACGGAGGAGGAGGGGAGGGAGGAGGGGAGGGAGGGAGAGGGGAGGAGGAGGAGGAGGAGGAGGAGGAGGAGGAGGAGGAGGAGGAGGAGAAGGAGGAGGAGGAGAAGAGGAAAGACAGAAAAGAGAGAAATGGAGAAGAGGGGGAGGAGACACTTGAGAGACACTTCAAGAGATACTACTATCGTCACAAGAGATATTTAAATGATTCTCACAAATTAAATGTTCCGTTGCAAATTAAAATATGTTGCAAATTAAATGTTCTGTTGCAAATTAAATGTTCTGTTGCAATTAAATGTTCCGTTGCAAATTAAATGTTCCGTTGCAAATTAAATGTTATGTTGCAAATTAAATGTCTTGTTGCAAATTAAATGTCCTGTTGCAATTATCTGTTGCAAATTAATGTTCTGTTGCAAATTAAATGTTCTGTTGCAAATTATATGTTCTGTTGCAAATTAAATGTTCTGTTGCAAATTAAATGTTCTGTTGCAAATTAAATGTCCTGTTGCAAATTAAATGTTCTGTTGCAAATTAAATGTTCTGTTGCAAATTAAATGTCCCGTTGCAAATTAAATGTTCCGTTGCAAATTAAAATGTTATTCACTGCACCTTCGCCAAATGTGGGTCGGGCGTGTGAGAGAACCATTGGGAACCAGGCATTAATTCTCCTGATCACGGAGAGAGAGAGAGAGAGAGAGAGAGAGAGAGAGAGAGAGAGAGAGAGAGAGAGAGAGAGAGAGAGAGAGAGAGATACATCCTATCTACACATTCCATCAACAACTTACAACAACAAAAAACAAGAAACAACAACTAAACAAACAAACAAATCAAGAACACCCAAACAGCGAAATCGTAAGCCTGGCGTACGTTAGCCAGGCGAAGTTATCAACATGCAGATCATCTCAGGGTCTGGATAAACACTTCAGACTGGCGCTTATATGATCGTTTAGTGTCATAACAAACATCTACGGTAAGGGTCCGCCAGATTTAACTAACTACCTAATTACCAACAGCTTTTTTGTAATGAACTGCTAATGTTATGTTATGTTATGTTATGTTAGGTTAGGTTAGGTTAAGATGAACCTAACACTAACGAAACATTAACCAAATTGAACCTAAGTTAACGTAACAATAACCAGACACTAACCAAACCTAACCAAAAACTAACCTAACCTGACCAAAAGCTAACCTAACCTGACCAAAAACTAACCTAACCTAACCAAAAACTAACCAACAGCGATCCTAACCTAACATAAAACTAAACGAAATAAGATCAGGAAACTCCAGGAAATGTTTACCAATATACAACGTGACGTCATGCTGTGGGAACCAATCAGCTGCTCTGAAATTGGCCACGCTGCATTCCCATTGGTGGAAGAAATATTGTTGGTGAGCACTCAGGAGATGAGGAGAGGTCTGGCCTGCCTGTCTGCCTCTGTTTACCTTTCTAGGCCAAGTTGTTGACGACACGGAATACATGTGGTCAGGTGATGTGGTCAAGAGATGTGGTCAAGAGATGTGGTCAAGAGATGTGGTCAAATGTCGTAAGCGTGGTCAGGAGATCTATTGAAATAAAACGAAAAAAAACAGAGAATAAAACAAAACAGAACAATAACAACAAGACCCACAAAACCTAAATGAAAAATAAACCCTCAAAAATATAAAACACACACACACACACACACACACACACGATAAAACGAAAATAAACAGAGGCAGAATAAAAAGGTGAAGGTGTTTGGAGGGGTTAGCTCACACGACACATAAACAAAACACTATAATCAGGGTAAAAGTGGCCGAGTGTTTCACCAGACTCGTCCCACCCCCACCATGTTAGTGGCGGCTCCTGAAGGTGAGTAAATAGTGTGAGGGCATCCTGAAGGCGTACATAGTGTGAGGGCGGCTCCTGAGGCGCATAGTGTGAGGGCGGCTCCTGAAGGTGTACATAGTGTGAGGGCGGCTCCTGAAGGCGTACATAGTGTGAGAGCGGCTCCTGAAGGGCGTACATAGTGTGGGGCAGCTCCTGAAGTCGTACATAGTGTGAGGGCGGCTCCTGAAGGCGTACATAGTGTGAGCGGCTCCTGAAGGCGTACATAGTGTGAGCGCTCCTGAAGGCGTACATAGTGTGAGGGCGGCTCTGAAGGCGTACATAGTGTGAGAGCGGCTCCTGGTCATTACATAGTGTGAGGGCGGCTCCTGAAGGCGTACATAGTGTGAGCGGCTCCTGAAGGCGTACATAGTGTGGGGCAGCTCCTGAAGTCATACATAGTGTGAGCTCCCGAAAGGCGTACATAGTGTGAGACGGCTCCTGAAGGCGTACATAGTGTGAGGACGGCTCCTGAAGGCGTACATAGTGTGAGGACGGCTCCTGAAGGCGTACATAGTGTGAGGGCGGCTCTGAGAGTCGTACATAGTGTGGGCGGCTCCTGAAGGCGTGCATAGCGTGAGGGCGGCTCTGAAGGCGTATAGTGTGAGGGCGCTCCTGGTACATAGTGTGAGGCGGCTCCTGAAGTCGTACATAGTGAGGCGGCTCCTGAAGGTGTACATAGTGTGAGGGCGGCTCCTGAAGGCATACATAGTGTGAGGGCGGCTCCTGAAGGCGTACATAGTGTGAGGGCGGCGGCAGTAAGGAAGAGGAGGACCTGGGAGCGACAAGGGCGGCTTACTGCTGACAGGAGCCGTGATAAGATATCCTTCCCAGCACCGCCACCACCATATCTTACCCGAGTGTTGGCTGCTGAATGTTTATGTTGTGGTGAATGTTTGTCTCGAAGAATGTTTATATAGCAGTGGTGTTATTACTTCTAAACTCTAAAATAATCTCCAGCAAAACCCTAAGATATTCTCCAACAATATCTCCAACAAAACCCTAAGGTATTCTCCAACACAAACCCTAAGATATTCTCCAACAATATCTCCAACAAAACCCTAAGATATTTACCAACAATATCTCCAACAAAACCCTAAGATATTCTCCAACAACTAAAGCCTATGATATTCTCCAACAATATATAACCAGCTTCCAAAGTCGATATGCAAATGACCTAGAACACATTCCCACAATCGTCGCCTCAGAGGATTCTTAGTAAAGTGAATATCGTGTTGGTAAATAAAACGATAGGTGAAAATGTTGATATCAGACGTAAGGGCAATTTTATCAGTAGTGTCTTGAAGCACATGATGTTTAGCCCTCCCTCTCCCACTCACTCCCACTCAAGTTTATTTCACCTGATGATTAATTAACTTAAATGTCATTTTAACCTGAGAAATGCTAACCTAACCGAACATAATCTATTTTTAACCTAAACTAAACTAACTTTACTCAAACTTTATGCTAATCTAAGCTATCCTTATACTAACCTATCACTAACTTAAACCTAACCTAACCTAAGCTAAACCTAACCTAACCTAACACAAACTTAACCTAACCAAAAGCAAATATAATCCCCCCAAGTAGGTGGTGGGGGGTGGAGAGTGGGGAGGGGAATTCACCAAGGCATTGATAGCCGGCAACTCAAATATTTGCAATACCAAAATGGGTAAACTTTTGTGTGGAGGAACGATGTTGTCGGCACACCATGTTGCTGCCTCATACACTACCACACCCTGTTGCTACCTCATACACTACCACACCATATTACTGCCACATACATTACCACACCATGTTACTGCACTATACACTACCATAACATGTTAATGCCACATACACTACCACACCATGTTGCTGCCACATACTACACCATGTTTTAACACACACACACCCTGTTGTACACTACCATAACATGTTAATGCCACATACACTACCACACCCTGTTGCTGCCACATACACTACCACACCCTGTTGCTACCTCATACACTACCAGACCATGTTAATGCCACATACAGTACACTACCACACCATGTTGCTGCCACATATACATTCAGACTTTAATTAATTCTATTTACAGTTATGATAATATTTCACACAAGATTATTTTTCCAATGCCCAACTAAAGCAAATATTTTCTGCTAAGTGTCATTCACATCACCCAAAAAATATACATATAAACCATCAAACGCATTACTGTATATTATTCTCTATGTTAAATATGTGTTATTTGACTCCATAGTGAAGTATTTATCTGGAGAGAAAAGCGCCCCGGGTTCTATTCCTGGCCTGGGTGAGGAGTGGGTTACATCATTCAACACCAGTCCTTGTTCAACCAGCATGTGTGCATATATTGGGAGAATGACCAAATGGTGGAACAACCCTTAAGTGGACTAATATCTTGCCAAGGTGGTGGAGTAACCCACTTGCTGGTGAATGATGGTGGAACAACCCTTGGGTGGAATAACATAACATAGCATAACATAACATAGCATAACATAGCATAACATAACATAGCATAACATAGCATAACATAGCATAACATAACATAGCATAACATAACATAGCATAACATAGCATAACATAACATAGCATAACATAACATAGCATAACATAACATAATATAGCATAACATAACATCATAAAACAACTACAAGGATATACTCTACCTCACCTAACCAAACCTTAACCTAAGCCGTCATTAAGAGCCTTGCCGGTAAAGGCCTAACACACACAAGCGTCATATTAACAGCAGCAACGATCATGCTGTTAAGACGATGGTATTATGGGTACAGTGATGTAATTGGATGTGTGTGAAGAGAGAGACTGTTTATACCAATACCGCCCTAATACCACCCACTACCACCAATAGCAGGAATACCAATACCACACACCACCCTCCTCCTCCTCCTGCCCAGCGCGTGTTAATGAGCCTCTCTCCTCGCCTGACTCCAGTAGTAAACAAACTAATTGTCTCACCAGCCAGATTTTTATGTCAGACTTGGTGCCTCATTCTGCCAACGTCGAGGAAAAATATAATTGGAAGTTATCTAAAAAAAAAAAAAAAAAGAATCATATGGAAATGAGGTCAGAGTACGATAAGTTAGGTTATTTTAATTACTGCTGTGGTGGTGTTATTGTTATTGTTATTATTATTGTTTCTGTTATTGTTGTTGTTGTTGTTATTATTATTAGTGTTACTGTTATTATTATTATTATTATTATTATTATTATTATTATTATTATTATCTTGCTGCTGCTGCTGTAACGCCATTATAACTAGACCTGGTGTTGAAAAACTCACAACGAACACACACACACACACACACACACATATACACATACAATTATACAACATACACACACAATTATACCGCATATACACATACATGAAAACACACAAACCAATACAAAAAAAAATACACACATTTATCGTTGCTATTTAAACAGTAATGGGATCTCCAAATACAGAGTTTTATGAGAGCGAAAAGAGTTGGTTTTTAATTGGCGTGTTTTAATAAACCACCAAACAGCCCAGGTGAACTTTTACGGCGTCTGGTATATTATGTTTTGTTTAATGTTTTACCTTTTAATGAGCTCTTGTTATTAAAGGTTGATGTCCTTGTTTAGTTCTAAGGTATAATTTGTTGGTTCATTAAATCTTTAGATCTGATTTTGAGTTGTTTTTGTGTTAAAGTGTAGAAATTCACACACACATACACACACAAACACACAAAAAACAAATACAGACACAAAATGACCACAAACACAAAAACCAATACACACACACACACACACACACACACACACACACACACACTAAGACTAGATGCCCTGAAACGTAAAATTAAACAGAACACAACTCCTCCTACCGTGTAATATTCACTACACTCTTACAAAAATTGACAAAGCTTGCGTTGAGTCCCCGTGAAATGAGATCCACTGCTGTTCAATTCTAGTGACCAGAAGAGCTAAGGGTAAGTTTCATACAGTTAGATCCACCTACCCCCTCCCCCCCACACACACACACACACACATACAAACAAACGCACAGATATACACACAAACATCACATATACACACAAGTAACACACATATATACGCAACGTAAACAAACACATGCAACAAACAAACAAACATATACAACGAATAAACACATACAACAAAAAAACACAAACAACAAACACATACAACAAACAAACACAAACAAACAAACACATACAACAAACAAACAAACAAACACATACAACAAACAAACACAAACAAACAAACACATACAACAAACAAACACAAACAAACAAACATATACAACAAACAAACACAAACAAACAAACACATACAACAAACAACACAAACAAACAAGCACATACAACAAACACATGCAACAAACAAACACATAACAAACAAACACAGAGGCGCACAAATAGGGTCTCTTAATATTGTGAATCTGGGGGAAGGAGAGAGCGGCCAGGAAGCAGTTTGCGCAATTCTCGGATTTACTGAAGAGATGTTGAAAAATGGCGGATTGGGCTTAAACGAGACGTGAATGTCAGACTGTGTAGCAAGAGGAGGCTGAAACTCTCTCTCTCTCTCTCTCTCTCTCTCTCTCTCTCTCTCTCTCTCTCTCTCTCACACATTACGGTTCTCTTTCATCTTTCTTTCTCTGTCTCTCTTTGTCAATACGGATCTCTCTCTCTCTCTCACAATATGGTTCTCTATTATCTTTCTTTTACCACTCTGTCTTTCTCTCTTTGACTATAGTCCCCTCTCTCTCTCTCTCTCTCTCTCTCTCTCTCTCTCTCTCTCTCTCTCTCTCTCTCTCTCTCTCTCTCCATCCCTTTCATGTTAAATATACAGTATATAATATGAAAGAACACCTCTTAAATGAGAATGTCTGTACGTGCGTTCTGGTAAGTGTGTGTGTGTGTGTGTGTGTGTGTGTGTGTGTGTGTGTGTGTGTGTGTGTGTGTGACGGGGGGCCCGTAGGTGGTGTAGGTCCAGTAATGGAACTCTCCTCGGTGCTTAGACGGTGTAATGGTCATTACCTCAAGCAGGGAGAAATCGTAATGACAAAGAGAGACAGAAAGAGAGTCCAAGAAGGTGAAAGACCGTACTGTGTGTGTGTGTGTGAGAGGACCTGACGCAATTCCTATTAACAAACACCTCCACCACCAAGCACTGGAAAGGTTTGGTAGTGGACTTCTGCACCACCCTCGTCATCCCACCTCCTGCCACCTGCAGCCCCCCACCCAACTCGCGCAGTCCGCCACTACAACAAAATTCAGCCCATAAGAGCCCGCACCGATAGATATAAGAACAGCACCATCCATCTATTGTTAAAATAATAAATAACTCTGATTTATGTACTGTACAAAGTGTACAGCCCTGTAAATGTATTCAATGCATATTATATCATTATGTCTAAATCAAATGTAAGTCTGTATATTTTCAGCCACCAACTGCAACTCTATTATAAACCGTTTATTATTATTATCATTATTATTACACACACACACACACACACACACACACACACACACACGCACACACACACACACACACACACACACACACACACACACACACACACACACACACACACACACACACACTGTCTACACCATCTCTCTATATCAACAAAAGTTTTATGAACGTATGAATACATGATATTAGACCAATTAATCCCGACAGTGTAGACAATTATTTTTTATTGTTTATATATATATAATGAGCGAGGTAAAGGTATATCAGGTGTAACAGTAATTAATTGTGGTAATGAACCTACCTGTGTTTGATCTTCCAGACATTGTGATTAATTACCGCTGATTACTTAATGTATTATTGTTTGCTTACACGTGAACACAGATCACTTCTGTGTGTGTGTGTGTGTGTGTGTGTGTGTGTTCTGGAGGCGAACTTACCCCCTATAAGTACTAAAGTTTACCCTCATCTTCAAGTGTACATTATTCAGTACATGTAGAGTGTACTAATGTCTAGGGTACCAGGATGGGTGTGTGTACGTGTGGCTCTTAATGTTATCATCTGTATGGTTACTTGGTCTAATGGCCTCGTACTGTATGTTTGGAGATGGGAGGGAGAGAGGGAGGGAAGAGGAGTAAGTAGTGGGATGGTAGGGGGAAGAGGGGAGGAGAGAGAAAGGAGAGAGACCAACGTTACACACCAGTAGAGACCATCATTACACACACAGTAGCACTACCACCACTACACAACACTACCACAACCACCACTACCACAACTACACACCATCACTACCACAATCCACAAAATCTCAATAAACATTTCACTAAACACTTTTTAAGAGTATTAACCTGAGACCTGATAAACCCCCACCATGTGTTACTAATACCCGAGGCGAGGCGGGGGCGGGGAGAGGCGGGGTGGGGAGGGGCCGGGAGTGGGGGGAGGCGGGGCGGGGAGAAGCGGGGCGGGGAGGGCGGGCGGGGAGGGCGGGCGGGGAGAAGCGGGGCGGGGAGGGCGGGGAGGCGGGGAGTGGGGAGGGCGGGGAAGAGAGAGGGGAGGGGAGGAGCGGGGCGAGGCGGGGCAGCTGGTGGCTTCCCTAACACTCACCATCTGATAGTGATCAGCTGGCGATCATAACAGCTGGTGGTGGTGATCAGACAGACAGTCCAATAGACAGTTTAAGGAAGACACAGACAGTTAAGACAGATCAAGAGACAGTTTAATAAAGACACAGACAGTTAGACAGTCCAATAGACAGTTTAATGAAGACAGAGGCACAAGAGGACTGTACCATCACTGACCAATAGAGGCGCCTGAAGCTGGGAGTCTCTGGCCGTCCATTCATCTTCACCAGAACCACTTGAATCAAAGGACCCGTGTGCGTGTGTGTGTGTGTGTGTGTGTGTGTGTGTGTGTGTGTGTGTGTGTGTGTGTGTGTGTGTGTGTGAGCCCTTCTTGCCTAAACTAATCCAACCTTAAGTAACTTAACATAACTTACCATACTTAATCCGACCTGACCCAAATCAACCTAACCTAGGTTAAATTACCAGTCCATTTAATGAACTAGACCAAATAGCATAGCCTAGAATGTTAGGTTAGGTTAGGTTAGGTTAGGTTAGGTTAGGTTAGGTTAGGTTAGGTTAGGTTAAGAGACCATTTCACGAAGTACATGGCCAAATTGACTATCTATTTCATGACCTGGGCAATTTCACAAACGGCACGAAACATGTACTGTACAGATACAGTATATACAAGTTCGCGTGTTTGTCAAATGACCTTAATCCATGTGAAATAGAAGCTATCTGTACACCACCGGGTCACAAACACACCCACTATCTGTACACCACCGGGTCACAAACACACCCACTATCTGTACACTTCTGGGTCACAAACACACCCACTATCTGTACACGTCTGGGTCACAAACACACCCACTATCTGTACACGTCTGGGTCACAAACACACCCACTATCTGTACACGTCTGGGTCACAAACACACCCACTATCTGTACGTCTGGGTCACAAACACACCCTATCTGTACATCTAGATTCACAAAACACACCTATCTGTACGTCTGGATGCAAAACACACCATATCTGTACGTCTGGGTCCTGAGCACCCACACTGTCTGTACACGTCTGGGTCTAAACACACCCACTATCTGTACACGTCTGGGTCTGAAACACACCCACTATCTGTACACGTCTGGGGTGCAACACACCACTATCTGTACACGTCTAAGTCCTACAGCCACCCCCACTGCACGTCTGGGTCACAAACACACCCACTATCTGTACACCACCGGGTCACAAACACACCCACTATCTGTACACGTCTGGGTCACAAACACACCCACTATCTGTACACCACCGGGTCACAAACACACCCACTATCTGTACACGTCTGGGTCACAAACACACCCACTATCTGTACACGTCTGGGTCACAAACACACCCACCGGTACCCAGTGATGCATGCAAGGGCATTTTCCTTCTCATCTCTCACTTTCCTCCTTCTCTGCCTCCCTCCTTCCTTCGCCCCCTCCCTCCCTCCCTCTTTTACTTCCTCTCCCTTCCTCCCCTTCCCCTACACCTCCTTTCATTTCCACCTTCCCTCTCCTCCCCCCTGTCCCTCCCTATCATTTCCACCCTTCCCCTCCCTCTTCCTCTTTCATTTCCTCCCTTCCATTCCTTCCTTCCCCCCACCCTCCTCCTCTCCCTCCTTCACCAGTGAGGGAGAGAGCTCCGGTCTGGGCTCGTCACGGCTGATGGAAGGAGTTGAGACTTGATGGAAAGGGATGACCAGATGTTGTAAGATAAGACTGTGAGAGGGAGACGAGGAACAGTTGATGGCCTGTCAGGGGAACGGGATTGTGAGTTGATGAAGTTGGTTGAGAATTGATGATGCAAGGGGTTGTTAGTTGATGGAAGCGGTTGTGAGTTAATGGAAGGGGTTGTGAGTTAATGGAAGGGGTTGTGAGTTAATGAAAGGGGTTGTGAGTTAATGGAAGCGATTGTGAGTTAATGGAAGGGGTTGTGAGTTAATGGAAGGGGTTGTGAGTTAATGGAAGGGGTTGTAAGTTAATGAGGTTGGATGAGAATTGATGATGGAAGGGGTTGTGAACGTAAAATAATAGGAAACAGATGTAATGGGTTAAGGGGTTGAGAGAGAAGATTGAAGAATTGATGAGAGAGAGAAAATCAAGATGGATATTAAGGTAGAAATTGAAAGTTGCTGGAGAGGGTGTGATGGACGGGTGGTGGTGGGCAGTGTTGATGAGTGAACGAAACACCCGGAGCTTTATGTGCGAGCTGCCCCGGCTGGTGTGTGTGTGTGTGTGTGTGTGTGTGTGTGTGTGTGTGTGTGTGTGTGTGTTTTAAGTTCCAGATGTTTACCAGATAAAACATTTTTCTATTTACATTCTCAATATCCAGAGCGAAGAACCGAGTATCCAGCCGCTGCTCAGGAACTTTTACCCTAAATTAATTTCATTTTTCTTCCTATACCACACAAGGTTAATTGATGGCTCATTACGTTAGGCGTTAATTTTCTTTTTAATCTGGATCAATTATAAGAATTCTTTGGGATTACTAAATTAAAAGTGGATATTTTTTTTTTTTCATTAGTTAATATGTGCGGTGGATGAGTGGATACAGCCCTCGCCTCCTGTTCTCCGGGTCGCTGGTTATACCCCGTGGTACTTCCAGTTCACCCAAGTGTAAATACATTGATAAATTTACACCTATAGGACCTGAAGGCGATCGAGTGTAGTACCGACCAAACTGCTTCCTTGTGTACCGGAGGCTCAGTACACACAACACCTCCCTCATTCCCCCACCTACACAGAATTTTAACTTCAACACCAAATTACTTAAAATACTCCTCTGTGATCTTGCTCCTGTAGCCAAAAAATCTCAAATTAAAATCTACAGTTTATACCGTAATCGTTTCAGTATGGGTTAGGTTAGGTTAGGTTAGGTTAGGTTAGGTTAGGTTGGGTTAGGTTAGGTTAGGTTAGGTTAGGTTAGGTTATGTTATGTTAGGTTAGGTTCACGTCTGATGATCTTATCGAGGTAAGGACAAGCTCTTGGACTGGTAGAGTTAGTACAGGTAGTGTGTGTCGGTATATTGCTGTTATATGAGACCTGTTCTGCCTGAATGTGTGTGTCTGCCTGACTGTGTGTGTCTGCCTGACTGTGTGTGTCTGCCTGACTGTGTGTGTGTGTGTGTGTGAATTTTTTCCCTTTTAAATTCAATGTCAAGATTTTCAAACCTCATTAAAATAAATAAATAAATAAAAAATCTCCATCATTAGGGATATAGAACAGATTTTTTCCCCATATATATAAAAGTATCCAGATTTTTTTCCCAGTTATGGTTAAGTGTCTGTATTTTTTGCCTCACATTATCCATCAAGATTTTTTTTTTGCCTCACTGGGATAACTGTGCAGTTTTTGTCTCATTAGAACTAAGTGTCAAAATTTTTGGCTTTAAAGATTTAATTAAGCTTCTCTCTCTCTCTCTCTCTCTCTCTCTCTCTCTCTCTCTCTTTTCACACATCTATTGATCCATCTACTTATATCTATCTTTCTCTCTGTAAAACTCACCAGCCAGTATAATGACCCTGACTAACACACTCCCACCTCAAGTGTTCATTAAAGACGCATAAATCTCTTATTCCTTAACAAAAAAATTGGAGAATTAATTGGAGGCGACCTTTTATAGAAGCATAATTCACTCACTCACTCAATGGTTCACTAACTGGCTCACACACTCAATAGTTCACTAACTGGCTCACACACTCAATGGTTCACTAATTGGCTCACACTCTCAATGGTTCACTAACTGGCTCACACACTCAATGGTTCACTAATTGGCTCACACACTCAATGGTTCACTAACTGGCTCACACACTCAATGGGGTCACTAACTGGGTCACTCACTAAATGGCTCACTTACTGGCTCACTAACTGGGTCACTCACTCACTGGCTCACTCACTCATTAACTGGCTCACACAATCAATGGTTCACTAACTGGGACAGTCACTCAATGGCTCACTATGTGGGTCACTCACTCACTCAATGGCCCACTAACTGGGTCACTCACTCAACGGTCTCACTCAATCAGTCAATGGCTCACTCAGTCACTCATTGGCTCACTAACTGAGTCACTCACACAATGGCTCACTCACTCACTGGCTAGCTCATTCACTCGCTTGTTCACTTTATGGCTCACTCACTATCTCACCCATATCTAAGCTTAATGGACCAAGTCATAATTGCCCTAGTCTTAATGGACCCCAGTCTTAATGGGCCCCAGTCTTAATGGGCCCTAGTCATAATGGACCCCAGTCTTAATGGGCCCCAGTCATAATGGACCCCAGTCTTAATGGGCCCCAGTCTTACAAGGTAGACAGAAACATCAAAACCTTTCATTAATCTTCACATCAACACATTAGCCCCCAACACTGTGAACACCCCCTACCCTCACCCTCCCCTACCCCTTCCCTCTACCCCTCCCTCTCCCCTACCCTCTCCTTCTACCCCTCACCTCCTCCCCCAAGGCCCCTGACAACCATCGCTGGGTCTACCTGTCTCCCTCACGGCCTCACCTGTACAGAATCTGACACAGTTTGTAAACAAATAAACACCTGAGGAGACATCTGACCACAACTAGTCAGAAGTATTGCCGAATGGACAGAGTGTGAAGATAATTATTACGAGATCTAAAGGTGGTTATGGGGTAGAAACACACACACACACACACACACACACACACACACACACACACACACACACACACACACACACACACACACACACACACACACACACACACACACACACACACACACACACACACACACAGGTCATGGAGGAGAAAGAGAACGCAACACCATACTGTGAGAGAGATAAAGGGAGGAGAGAGGGACAGAGGGAGAGAGGGACAGAGGAGAGAGAACAGAGAACTAAGCATCATATGCAACGAGCAAGAAACGAAAGAGGGAATAACAGATAGGAAGGGAGAGAACCCCAAACACCAGCACCACAGCAGAAGAGACAATAAACGATGTCTCACAATGGTTTCGGTCTCAGGAAACAAAACTTTTAGCTCAATACAACAAAATTGTGTAAGTTGAGAGTTAGTGCTAGAAGTGTTGGGTGGGGTTTATTGTTATTAAGTTGACGGTGTGTGTGTGTGTGTGTGTGTGTGTGTGTGTGTGTGTGTGTGTGTGTGTGTGTGTGTGTGTGTGTGTGTGTGTCCCTTTTGCTCCTGTGAGGTACGCTTGTGGTGCAGTGGGGAAACCAGTAACATGTATACTTAATTTCTCGTTGTTAAGTCT